ACACAAATAATTTTGAAGAAAAAGAAAAGATGATTGTACTCACTTAAGTGGAAATAAGGACTTATTAGAAAGCTACAGTAAGATGGTTGTGCTACTGGCACACAAATGAAAAATCAGTGAACAGAATAGAAAGGTCAGAAACAGACTCAAATTCTGCAGGGTAGTAAAGTAATGAAAATCTTCTCAACCAGTGTGCTGGAATAATTGGATAGCCATATATGGAAAAAGATGAAACCTAACCCCTTCCTCACACCATGCTTATAAATCAATTTTAAAAGGAATGAACCTTCTAGAATAAAATATAGTAGTAGAATGTCTTTAAACTCAAGGAAGATTTTCTTAATCAGGACACAAAAACACAAACTTTATAAAAGGAAAGCATAATACCTATGATGGTAATACAGCTAAGAACTAAAGGCAAATCACAGAGCAGAAAAGGTTTCTTGAAATACATATATGACCAATAACAGAATGGAAATCAGAATACATAAAAAACTGCAAATCAAGAGAAAAAAGACAAATAATCCAAGAGAAAAATGGGTAAGAAAATTTAATAGTTACTTTACAACAAAGGATATCCAAATACTTAATAATCTTAAGAAAACTTCCTCAATCTTATTAGTAATTACAGAAATGCAAATGAACACCACCATAATATGCCATCACACAAACACCCAATGGCTAAAAATACAAATACTCAGAATTGCAAGTACTGGGGAAGATATGGAACGCTTCGAGTGTACAATACCAGTGGAGTGAAAATTGGTACAACTGTTTTAGAAATAGGTGACATTATCAAATAAAGTTCAAGATTAATTACCCTAAGACAGAACCATTTCAATCTGAGGTATATACTGAACAAAAATATGGTCACATATGCAACAAGAAATGTGTATTTTTAAAAGCAGCATCATTGGGCCAGGCGCCGTGGCTTACCCCTGTAATACCCCCGTAAGCTCTTTGGGAGGCCGTGGTAGGCAGATCACTTGAGGTCAGGAGTTCGAGACCAGCCTGGCCAACATGGTGAAAGCCTGTCTCCACTAAAAATACAAAGCAGCCAGGCATGTTGGCAGGTGCCTGTAATCCCAGCTACTCCGGAGGCTGAGGGACAAGAATCACTTGAACCTGGGAGGCTGAGGTTGCAGTGAGCTGAGATCGTACCACTGCACTCCAGCCTGAGTGACAGAGTGAGACTCTGTCCAAAAAAAAAAAAAAAAAGCAGCATTATTTATCATAGTAAAAATTGGAAACAACCCAAATGTAAAAGAAAAAAAAAAAGAGATTCCATTTGCAGTCACAATTTGTGTAGGAATGAATTTTTGAAAATATATGCAAAGACATGATGAAGAAAATATAAAATATTATTAAAGAATGAACAAGATCAATCACATGTATAACTTAATATCACAAAGTTGTCAGTTCTCTCAAGTTAATCTATAAATTCAATGTAGTTCCAATGAAAATCCTAAACGTGTTTTATAATGGAACTTGACAAAATTATTTTAAAATTTAATGTATGAATAACGTTCCAAGAAGAGCAAGACAATTCTGCCTTTATCAAACTACAATATAAAGCTACAATAATTACAAAAGTGTGATATAGAGAACTTAGAAACAATTTTGAATATTTGTAGAAACTTGGTATATGATTGAGAGGAATTACAAATAAATGGAGAACAAAATAGCATGCAATTGATGATGTTAGGACCATTGGCTACCCATATGAAAAAAAAAAACTTCCCCCAAATTTCAATTAGATTAAAGACCCAAATATTAAAAATGCAACTTGAAGATTTTTGAAGAAATGTAGAGTATCTTTACTATCTCAGTATAGGGGTGAATTTCCTAAACATGACAGAAAAGCATGAAATACATACACACACATAGACTAACACATTTTACTACATTCACCATTACAAACTTCTTTCCAGCACAATGGCTCACACCTGTAATCCCAGCACTTTGGGAAGCTGAGGCGGGTGGAACATTTGAGTCCAGGAGTTCAAGACCAGTCTGGGCAATATAGGGAGACCCTGTCTATACAAAAAATACAAAAATTACCCAGGCGTGGTGGTGAATGCCTGTAATCCCACCTACTCAGAGGAGTTGAGGTGGGAGGATCACTTGAGTACAGGGAGGTTGAGGCTGCAATGAGCTGAGATTGAGCCGTTCTACTCCAGTCTGGGTGACAGAACGAGACCGTGTCTCAAAACAAAACAAAAATTTACAAACTTTTATACGACAAAATAAATCACAATCAAATTTAAAAAAAACACACACACAGTGGGAGAATATACTTGCAATACTAAGAGAAATTGACATTCAGATTCTTTAAAGAACTCATACAAATCAATAATAAAATATTTCTACTATCATGATACTACTGGTAACCCGCAGGCAGCAACCAATCAGAAGACAGCAAGACTAATACGAATGAACATTTAAAAAAAGAGGCTTCTCTGGTGCATACCAGCGGGATATTCTCTAAACAACCCCAAAAAATCAACAAAATATTCAGTGAACACTTACATTATGCAAACCCCTTCTCAGCAAAAGTTTTTAGAAAAAAGTCAAATTTCAAATCCTTCAAGCCAGGAATTAGCATTAGTTAATAGAAAACTGATGCTACTGCTTGATAATAACGTTTTTGTTTGAGCAATGTGAAATGGCCATTTTTAAACCAAAAGATGGTTAAAAAACTGGCAACTTCAAATGATTCAACCTCTATCTTCTTAATTTAACTATGGTATTGTAAATTGCCAGTTTATACAGAATATTCAAACCTGTAGAGCTAAACACTGAACCTGTATATTAACTAATGCGCTTGAAACTAATTCTCAATAAGACTAAAACTTCATTTTACTGAATTATATAAATCAGTTTACAGTGTTATGTTTTCCTGGAATTTGATATAAAAATGGTTTTACAGCCCTCTAAGAATATAATTCTTCATGTTTGTCAAAAATTGTGAAATATCCTTATATGATTATTCAAAACCTAAACCTGAATGAGAGAAAATCTAACTGAACTTAAATTGTTTGGTTTTACAAGTGGCTTTTCTGCCCATTTTAACCCCACCAATATATACTTCTTTGTATCATTACACTAGAAAAAGTCCAGTATAATTTTTGAAATAGCATCTCTATGTTGGTTCCCTTAATCTAAAAGATTCTCACCAAGTTTAAGAACAACCTTAAATAAAAACAGATATATAGACCAATGGAACAGAATAGAAAGCCCAGAATAAATCCACCCGTTTTTCAGCTGATCTTCGACAAAGGTGCCAAGAATCCACGATGAGGAAAGGACAGTCTCTTCAACAAACAATACTGGGGAAACTGGATAACCACTTGCGGAAGAATGAAATTGCACCCTATCTCACCCAGTATACAAAAATCAACTCAAAGTAAAGACTTAACTGTGAAACTTGAAATTGGAAAACTACTAGAAGAAAACATAGGGGAAAAGCTTCTTGACATTGGTCTGGGCCAAAATTTTTTGGATATGACTGAAAAGCATAGGCAAAAAAAGAAAAAATAGACAAATGACATTGTATCAAACTGAAAAGCTTTTGCACAGTAAAGGAAACAATTATAAAGAGACAACCTACAGAATGGGAGAAAATACCTGCAAAGCATATATTCGAGAACAGGGTAATATTTTTTTTAAAAAAAGGAACTCAAACAACACAATAGCAAGAGAACAAGTTACTTGCCTAAAAAATGGGCAAAGAACCTGAAAAGATATTTCTCAAAAGAAGACATATGAATGGCCAAGAGGTATACGAAAAAATGCTCAACATCATTAATCATCAGGAAAAGCAAATTAAAACCACAAAGAGATATTCTCATACCTGTTAGGACGGTGATTAACAAAAAGACAAAAGAAGAGTTGGTGAGGATGTAGAGAAAAGAGAACCCTCTTGTACACTGTTGGTGTGAGTGTAAATTAGTAGTTATTATGGAAAACAGCATGGGGATTCCCCAAAAAACTAAAAATAGAACTACCATATGATTTGGAGATTCCACTTCTGGGTATATATCCAAAGGAAATGAAATCTGCACTCCCATGTTCACTGCAGCCTTATTCATAATAGCCAAGCTATGAAGTCAATCTAAATGTCTGGATGAACGGATAAAGAATATCTGCTATATATAAATAAGAACATACTATTCAGCCTTAGAGGATATCCTATCACTTGAGATAATAAGGATGAAACTGGAGACCGTTATGTTAAGCGAAAGGAGCCAGGCATAGAAAGACAAATATTGGATGTCTCACTTATTTGTGGACTCTAAAAAAGTCAAATTCATAGAAGCAGAGAGTAGAATGGTGGTTACCAGGGGCTGGGGGGAACAAAAAGGAGGGATTGTGGAGATGTCAGTTAAAGGATGCAAAATTTCAGTTAGACAGGAAGAAGAAGTTCAGGAAATTTATTGTACAAGATGGTGACCATAGTTAATAATAATATAGACTTGAAAATTACTGAGAGAGTGCAATTTAAATGTTCTCACCACAAAAAAGTAAAAAGTATATGAAGTAATGCATATGTTAATTAGGTTGATTTAGCCATTTTACAATGTTTACATATATCAAGACATCATGTTGTATGCCATAAATATACTTTTTATTTGTTAATTTAAAAATAAAAATAGCAGCCTTAAATAAAAGTACTCTGACACTCCAAACTTAAAGACTTTGTATTTTGAGAGACATAAACTGGCAAATGAAAAATAAAGATATCCAAATAGTAGAAAAACAAGGGAAAATATGCTCAACCCTCTTTAGTTCTTTTTTCCTTCCCTTCCTTATCCTCTCCCTATCTCCTACTCTTGCTCTTCTCCTCTTTCCTTTCTCCTTCCCTTCTTTCAGTCTTAGAGCTAATATTTTTAAATGCTAACAATTACTAATACTTAATAGCAACACATATCTTGTTCTTGTGCTTTCCATGTATTTACATGTCTTTAGAATGGGAGGAATAAAAAGAAAAACGTTATTACCTTTGCCTCCTTTACAGTGAATCACTATGATGTTTTCAGGATCTTGAGCCAGCCACTCCTCTACTTCCTTGGAGAATGCTACCATCTCCCTGATTTCAAGTTTAGGATTTTTAGTTGAATTAAAATATTTTCAAAAAATCAAGCCCAATATATTTAGCCCCCTTCTGATAGTCAACGTAGCATAAAACTTACCATAGAGTGGGGACATTATGATCATCAATCATGATTCTACTGACCCTATTATGGAAGTGCTTAGGATCATAAGCTCTTTCACCTAAAATAAATAACATGTATGTCATATCTCTCTATACAATAACACAGTAAATGATGAAGTTATGAATCATATAAAATATCTTATTAGAAATTCCCTATCCATTTCAAAAGGAGCTTTCCAAGTTGCTCCTGCTGCTCTAAATAAAATAAACTTAAGAGTCTCAAAAACATAAGGACAGTAGTGGATTATCCATCTCACGTCACCTAAACTCAACTTATTTTAGTTTAATAGGTGTAATTTTTAACTTTTTAGCAGACTATTCATTATATTATTGCAGGGTAGTTAGAAACCATGCAAGAGGTAAATGTAACTGGCCAAAATGATTGCCCCCCTGTCTATTGAGCACACAGGTAGAGAAAAAAATTAGGACAGAGTGGTAAGCTGGGTTGCGACCTATTTTCTAAAGAGTTTTTTTGCTTTTTTCCCATCTGCGGCCCTGCTCTCATCATAACCCACTGCTAATGGGTCAGGGGACTCATTTGTTAAATTGTCTATGTCCTCGTAACACAATCTGGCAGGAAAAACAGACAGATTTTCCTAAACCTAGTATCGCCAGAACAGATCTTCCCTAAAATGGTTTGCCTCCACTCCAGCCTCATTAGTCCTGCCAGAGCTGCCTCCTTCATAAGGGTACTCTGTGCTCCTGGGCTAACTCCTTCTACCAAATGGGGCCAGTCCAAGATGGGGATTTTTAAATTCCTTCCGCACCAGCACCAAATACTTATGATTAAATGCAATGTAAAAAACAAAATCATCTTCTTACATTCAGTAATCTGTTTTCTATCTACAGTAGCAATATACAGAGTAATGTACATACTGCATAGATTGTAGACTCGATAGTGGTTTGGATGTTTCTTGTCTAGAAACTGTACAACTTCCTAAAACAGAGAAACACATATTTTACATATTTGCATGGCACCAACATAAGCCATTTCCTAGGAGGAACCTAAAATGGTTATTACTTTCTATTACTTTGTCTCTCATCAGCATCTTCTAGGGGAGACTCAGGGAATAAAGGGTATGCCAATTTCAAGTTCTAATCCACTGTGGTTTTTCAAATAGTCCACAAATATGTGTTTGACTACTCAGATTAGCCTCTATTGTAAATACACACTGTTTAAAGCTATTAGAAAAGTACATTAGATGGTTAACGAACTTTAAGTAAATTTGTTCCAAAGCATTAATTCACAGTTAATGTGATTCTTATTTAAATCTAATTCATATTGGTTTTTATTTAAATTTCATTCTGAATAGGTATGTCGTTTAGATAGTGGTTTGAATATTACATTCTACCTAAGCACTATGTAAGCAAATAAATGCAAAAAGTATTACAGTACGATTGTGTGTGTATGTATGATAGAAAAAGACAAACATATTATATCAATTTATAAATAACTGGTAACAATATGGAGACTTTTTTGGCTCACCTGTTCTCTTAGTTTTTTAATGAAGATATATATGTACCGCTAAGTGTGTGTGTGTGTGTGTGTGTATATATATATGTATAACCTTTCCAATGAAAAACAAATAGTAGTTATTATTTGAAATATAGTTAATATAACTACATGAATCCAACAATATTTTCAGGAAATATATCTTTCTGAAACATATGTATATATCTCTGTGTAACAACAAAAATGACACAAAATTTCAAAAACGGATTAGTATGGTACCCTCAGAACAATGTTTACTGGCTTAATATTGAGGAAAAATAAAATTAAGGCATCGAAGTCATCCATTTATTAAACTGGTTATCTATGTTAGGAGGAAATAATACATCAAAAAGATGAACACCCTGAATCTGCACAGTGGCAGAGGGGAGGGATTAAACATTTCACATACTTCAGAATTCATGAATTTTCTTACATAAAATCCATATAGGTTTAGAAATTACATATTAAAAACTACAACTATCTATGAGAAACTTAAGTGAATTTTAATCAATTCTTTGGATGAGGAAGAACTAAAAGTGTTGAATCAATGGAAGATCAATAGCCTTGGGTTTGACTTCATAAAATTCTGAAATTTCTGTTTAAAAATGCTATAACGAACAACAGGGGAAAATATTTTTTCAGAAAAATGGACTATTGGGGACTATATCTTATCTAGGATAATAAATTAATAATTCATTAACAACAACTTAAATATTACTCCCTCACCTTATAGATAAATGGGCCAAGGACATAAACAATCCATAAAAGAGAAAATCAAACTGATTAACAGCCTACATAAATATTCAGTGTCACCAATAACGAAGTTAAAACAACAGTGACATGACCTTTGCACCCATGAAATTAGCCCTTTCTCTTTTAATGAGAAAATCCAATGCTGGCAAAATAAGACATGACATTAAAAACTTTGATTTATTGTTGATACAACAATACAATTGCTCTTGGATTTGGCAATATATATTAAGAACCCTAAAAATACTCATTCTCTTTAACTAGGTAAGTTCACTCCTAACAATCTGTACAGAAAAAGCCTTATGCTCAAAGATATTTGTTGCTGTATTATTGATAATAGTGACACTTAAATGTCCAACATTAGAGGTTAATCATAGCACTAATGAAATATCATGCAACCATTAGAATACTGTCCTGTTCTTCATTCTCTCAACCAGTAAATATCTCAATGCAGTAATTTATGTGCAGTCTTCTTTAGTATACATATATAGAAAAACAGCTGGCCGGGTGTGGTGGCTCATACCTGTAATCCTAGCACTTTGGGAGGCTGAGGTGGGTGGATCATGAGGTCAGGAGTTCAAGACCAGTCTGGCCAAGATGGTGAAACCCAGTCTCTACTAAAGATACAAAAATTAGCCAGGCACAGTGGCGGGTGCCTGTAATCCCAGCTACTTGGGAGACTGAGGCAGGAGAATCTCTTGAAGCTGGGAGGCGGAGGTTGCAGTGAACTGAGATTGCACCACTGCACTCTAGCCTGGGTGACAGAGCAAGATTCCACCTCAAAAAAGAAAAAAAAAAGAAAAGAGAAAGAAAAACAGGCAATATTTGCTTTTTCGTGGGAAGACAAATACCCCTGGAGGGTTAAACTTTAGGGATTTTCTGAATCCCATTCCTAGTTTTCTCAATGTCTAAAATTAAATTACATACATATATATGTGTGTGTGTGTGTGTGTGTGTATGTGTGTGTATATACTTTTTATAATTATATATGTGTATATATACTTTTAATAATTATATATATATATAGACTCAATATATTGATGATTTACTGCTGTTTCCTGATCTAAGTAGTTTACTGAAGGCTCCAAATACCTCTTATTCAAAGGTGAAAAGGGACATAAAGAATCTAGAGAACAGGTGAAATCTAGAGAAAAGATGAACTCTGCCAAGAATCTACATTTTTCTGGTCACAAGCTGTCACCAGATGGATAGTTTCTGTTTTCAACCAGAATAAAGAGCATTCAATTCTACCAAGAACAGAAATTAAAAGCTGGTTAAGAAGATTTTAGGACTGTAGGTAATTGTATATCTCATATCTCAGCCTTTGCATGGGCTTACTAAGTTTATAATTTCTGATGCAACTTCCTTGTGATGCAAAAGTAGAAACTACTACTCTGTGAAAGCCTTCTTGCAACAATCTCCACCTTCGGGTTTTCCTAAATCTGCTCAACTCTTCTCTCTGCCTATCTTAGTACATTCCTTGATTTGGAGGCAAAGGTACACCCTCTGTACCTGCATGAAGTGGTAGCAGTGGCCAAACTTGTTGATGCTTCCACCACAGTGCTTGTGTGTCCACTAACTCTATGGGTCCCACATCTCTAAAGTTTCTGCTACTTCAAGGCAGCATCTGACATTTCTCCACTAGTAAATTTACCACTTATGAAATTGTAAGGTCTGCTTTGCATATTCAATATTGTTCGAAATGTAACCCTGCAAATTTATTCTCTTTTAAGAATAAAGAGGAATCGCATGACTGTTTAGCATCCTCTCAGGAGTTAAGTATACCCGGATTTGAATCATGTACCTTTTAGTCAGCCTTGATTTAATATACATTGTGGATGGTTCTCAGAAATGACAAAGGCATTCCAAGCGCAGGATATGCTGTTGTCATTGAACATGCAATTGAACATTACTCCATGACTGTTCCCATTATGGGAGAGGAAAAGTAATTCCACCTCAAATAAATAGTTTGAAACAATTTTCAAAATTGGCCAAGCGTGTGGTAGAATCATGTCTTAGCTGGGAATAGCATAACCTGGGTGAGATGTGGGTCAGATCCTGCTCTTCAAGGTCTTTGGGTATTTACAAATACATTTTTATACAACTGCTGAAGCCTTGCGTTTCTGACTATATAGTAGTTATTTCTTGTAAACTATCTGCATGTATAAAAATGCTTCCCTGCCTGAGAAAAAGGTAGAATGATTCCATCAGTGGTCCCAATTCTTCATCTTTTCCTGAATCCCAGCCTTCACATTTCACCTTGTAGTGCCCTTTCACTCTAAATTTTGGTTCTATTATGTGAGTTGACTTGGTCAATGAGATGTCACAAAGGAGAGGCCTGCAAAAGCACTTGTAAGATTCCACTCTAGCTCTTTCCTTTTGCCATTACCCTGAAACATATCCATCATATTTTTCCTGATGGAGGATGAAGATGAGTTCAGCAGATAGGAGTTATCCAAGGCACCAAAGCTAAGGTAATCATAGACCAGGAGATAAAGACATTTCAAGGAAAGAAAATTTCATATCACCCATGCACATAGATGAAAAGTTCTAAATAAAATATTAGCAAACAGAATCTAGTGATATATAAAAAAGACAGTACATTAAGACCAAAGGGAGGTTATTCCAAAAATAAAAAATGTTGGTTTAACATTTGAAAATCTCATTAAGGGAAAAACACAAAAACATTTTGATTACCTTGATAGATCCAGAAAAAAATATAGAATCTACTCAACACCAATTCATGATTCAAAACTTTTAGCAAACTAGAAATAAAATGGATTGTCTTAATCTGGTAAAGAATGACTACAAAAGCCTATAGCAAACATCATTTCAAATAGCGAGGTATAAAATTCCTTCCACCTGAGTTTGGGAATAAGGCAAAGCTGCCTCCTCTTACCATTTCTATTCAATATTACAGTGAAAGTCTTAGATAATTCAATAAAGAAAGAAAAAAAGTATAAAAACTGGGAAGAAAGTAGTAACTTTATGATTGTATACATAAAATCCCAGGGAATCTACACATTAATTATTAAAATGAATGTGTGAATTTATGAGGGATGCTAGATATAAAGTTAATATACAAGGCCAAGTGTGGTGGCTCACATCTGTAATTCCAGCACTCTGGGAGGCTGAGGTGGGAGGATTGCTTGAAACCAGGAGTTCGAGACCAGCCTGGGCCAGTGAGACTAGTGAGGCTCCCTGTCTACAAAAATTAATTTTAAAAAAATTAGCCAAGTGTGGTGGCTAAAACATCAAAAGCAACTGCAACAACAGCCAAAATTGACAAACGGGATCTAATTAAACTAAAGAGCTTCTGCTCAGCAAAAGAAACTATCATCAGAGTGAACAGGCAACCTACAGAATGGGAGAAAATTTTTGCAATCTACCCATCTGACAAAGGGCTAATATCCAAAATCTACAAAGAACTTAAATTTACAAGAAGAAAACAAACAACCCCATCAAAAAGTGGGTGAAGGACATGAACAGACATTTCTCAAAAGAAGACATTTATGCAGCCAACAAACATACAAAAAAGGCTCACCATCACTGGTCATTAGAGAAATGCAAATCAAAACCACAGTGAGATACCATCTCACGCCAGTTAGAATGGCGACCATTAAAAAGTCGGGAAACAACGGATGCTGGAGAGGATGTGGAGAAATAGGTACACTTTTACACTGTTGGCTGGAGTG